CAATAAAATATGTCTGAATCAAAAAGAGAACCGTGTACCGAAATTTTGCGGCTCCTTAAACTTTTGAACGATTTCAAGTCATTTCGGCCCCAAAACGTATCGGCCTCAAATTACCCAAGACGTTTCGGCCCCGGACGTTTATAACAAATCGGCCCAATATTTAGTTAAGAATAAGTCTTACCTTTACGTGTTTTATGCCAGAATTTTTAATATCATTTCAAAAAAAAGGAATGAAATAAGGGAATGAGAGAATTAATTGAATAATTAAATTTATGATTTTGTAATTGAATGAGGCTTTTAAAATAGTAGTGATCAAAACAAATAGAACAGAACATAAACTTTATTAAACCAAACATACTACACAAACACTGAAAAAGATTTTTACCTGCTTATTATCAACAAGCATTTTTTTTAAATTTAAACTTGAACATTGGAAATGCAAGACAAAGAACAATACATAAAACAAACATTTGTTATCAAAAACTATTAAATTAATAGTAAATGACGAGTTTCAGCAATACAAAACAACACATAACAGTTAAAAAATTATACTTGTTCTTTCATGAAATAAAACAAACAATACATTGTAAACATACATTTTAAAACAAATAACACTCTTTTTGTATCGCCTTGAAAAAAGCGACATAAAGGGGTTACTTTTGTCGGCGTCGTTGTCGGCGTCGTCGTCCCCTAAAGCTTGTCCGGAGCATAAGTCAGTCATTATAAGTCAGATTGACTTCAAACTTGGATGCATGCTTCTTATAATGACCCGAAGTGCAGTGCACAAGAACCGGTACTCTGCACTTCTTAGTTTTTGAGTTATTGCCCTTTGTTTATTTTCATACTTAAATTTGTCCAGGCCATTTCTCCTAAAGTATAAAAGCTATGGACTTGAAACTTCATAGGATGATAGATCTCATTAAGAAGAAATGCAGTGCACAGGAACTGGTACTTTGCATTTCTTATTTTTTGAGTTATTGCCCTTTGTTAATTTTCATACTTTATTTTTGTCCAGGCCATTTCTCCTAAAGTTTAAAAGCTATGGACATAAAACTTAATAGGATGATAGATCTCATTAAGAAGAATTGCAGTGCCCAAGAACTGGTACTCTGCATTTCTTATTTTTTGAGTTATTGCCCTTTGTTGATTTTCAATAGTTCTACAATAAAAGAGACAGATTTTCAAACAGAACGTTATAATAATAATCTAAAATATTATCAAGAAATTATATCAAATCATATGTTTAAAAATTTTTATTTTAAAGTTTTCTTTGATATTATTAACCGCTAATTAGCAATAATTAAATAATTAATTTGTTACACCTTGAAAAAACACATACCTAAATATAAAATAAATATTAATTGTGTGCCATCAATCAATCATTCTAACACTCACGTGATTTTGTCAAAGAAGGAAAAAATTGGTGTTAAACTGCCAATAAACACCTGTTAGGGACTACTTGTATATGCGCTGTTATGTTTTCACCCTCGATTGTATAGTTTACAAAGCATTTTGAAGCAACAATAAAAAGCATTTTTATTTATATTTTCAGTTCGTATAATGTTTTCTTTTCATACAATACCGAAATAATATCTCACATACAACAACGCCACATATTAGATCCATATCAGTTAATAAATATTTGGACAAAACGGCGCCAATCCGTAAGCAGCGTAATGACGTCATCGTAAGTAAACAGCTCATTCATAAACAAGCTGACGTTATTTCATACATACAATAATGATAAATATGGGGCACTGATGTAAACACAATACGACGTAAGTTTTTATTGTTGAAAACTTGATAAAACAACGTTTTTTTCTTATTACTTCTTTTGTTTGATAATTTCTATATCTTCGCAACATTAGGGTGCGAAAATCGAACAGCGTTATACGAAAATCGGCACCGGAAGTTATTTCCGCTTGAAAAATAACATTAGTGATTTTCCTTTATTAATCGTGTTAGAATCGAAATAACATCGGCCGGAGAGGTGTATATCGGCTATTTTTGATGCGACAAAATTAACCACTCAGGCCTACGGCCTTCGTGGTCATTTCCTTCACATCAAAACTCCAAACCGGTGTTAAATAGCCGATATACACCTATCAGGCCGAGGCTATTTCTTAAATATACTACATTTTTCTAACAATTTTATGTATAAAAATTCCTTTTTAAATGTAATTAAAAGAGGGCCGAAACGTCTCGCAAAAAAGGGCCGTAATGTCTAGGGGCCGATTTTTTCATAGAGGTCGATTTGGTTTGGGACCGAAACGTCCTGTTTGCTTTTGAACTGGTTTGACTAAATAACGCAACAGAGATTTTTTGGCGCAAATGGCACACATTTTACTCAAGTTTTATTTTCATCAAATAATGTGGTTGGAGGCATGCAGCTTTATATAATATCTATTCCACTCAAATGATATAAACATTCTCTGTGTAAATCCTCAGGGCCCTCAATCCAATTTTGGGGAAGTGGGTCGCTACCCTCAGCAGTGGGAATTTTAGTGTATAGGAGGAATTTTCCTCTTTTCTTTTATGATTAAATATCAAATAAACTTATTTAAATACAAGCTGTTTTTTATTTACATGCATATTATTTTTTAAAAAAATCCCAAATAGGTAACACTTAACCTTTATGCTGCTTAGCTTTCTTTATGATTCATTCTACCCCCCCCCCCCCAAAAAAAAAAAAAAAAAAAATAGCATCGAGAAACACATTCAGACAAATATCTCCATTTCCACTAAATTAAAATATGGACAATACATGGACCTTAAGTAAATTCTATTCATAAACTACATTTCTAAGATAAAGAATAAGACAAAACTTTCTTTTCTTGACTTAACAATCGTAAAAATCGGCATCGCGAAAATATGTGACAAATGAAAATTCTTTTGTTTACACATCCACATTTCTAGTTCTTACTGATGTAAATTATATAAAATTAAATTTATTGTTTATTATAAGATCGTTTTCAATTAGTTATTTCATCAAGGGTCATGAAAACAAAACTTACAAGTTTGTAATTTACGGCAAAATTTACCGTGGTTGATGTAACATTTTGAAGACAAAAAAAACTATTGCATGAATAAACAATTTGAAATCGAATTTTTTATGGGAATTGTGAGTATCATGAAAACAAAACTTACAAGTTTGTAATTTACGGCAAAATTTACCGTGATTGATGTAACATTTTGAAGACAAAAAAATGGATTCATGAATAAACAATTTGAAATCGAATTGTTGATGGGAATTGTTTTTTTTTTTCTGCATATTTGAAATTTAAGCATTTTTACAGGATAAAAGGCCAATATGTGACGGTAGATTTTGGAGGGCGGGGTGAACAAACGGACACGTGCAGACAAGTACTGTATACAATATCCCTTACAAAATAGTCGTCAAAAAGATGGATTTTACTTTTCAAAAACAACATGAGTTTTCATTTTTTTTCTTTAACACTATATGTTTTGAGGGGGAATTTTTACCTCTGTTAGGGAAAAACAAACATACTATTTTGATGGGGGACTGCGGCCGCAGATTTGAATGATAGAGGGCCCTGATCCTGGACTTAAAATTGTTTGATTAAAATTGTTTATGCGGGTTTTTGAAAATGTAGAAATGTTTCCACATACTTACCGAAACATCAACCGAAAATTTCCTTATTGAATTTTGCAAGAAACTTTTGATTTTGAAACTTATTTTAACATATATATTATTATTACCCTTCCAGATTTTTTCCGCCTTTTTGATTGGATATTGATCACCTGAAAGAAATTGATATTACCGAACCAGACGGGTAATATACACACTAAATTTCCCCGTTTGATACCCCAAGTTGTAAACAACATGCGTTGTGGCGATGCGCGTACGGTTTTATTTTACGCGATGTAAATTCCGATTTACAAGCACTTTTTAACTGTCAAATGATAAATATTTACCAAAATAGAGTAATGATACATATTCTCATCAGTATTTAAAACAAATATGACCTTGTGAAAGCTTGATATTAATTCCAAAAAAGTGCGTTCAACAGACTACTATTTTTCTCTTGTTTACATTTGTAAGGTTCGAAAGAAACTTCGGCATGTATATATGTGACGTTATTTTGTGGTGAAGGGGTACCCTAAAGGGAATCTTATTTCGACGTTTCATTTGATGTAGCAATGATTTATTTTAAAATCGTCTAAACTCGGCAGGGGAAGGGTAATAAAATTATCATTTTGGTTTTGGATTGATATATATGGATATATTACCTGCCAAGATAAAATATCACCCTCGCCTAACGGCTCGTGTGATATAAAATCTTGACAGGTAATATATCCACATATATCACTCCAAAACCAAATAACATATAATATACCATTTGTTTTAAATTTAGTAATAGAAAGAACATCGAAACATGAGGCTATCTGATTTGTATTAGGGGCGTAGCCCCCAAGTTTTAATCAGATTGCCGTTTGTTTTGATGTTCATTCTCTTTTGTATCATTGTCAAACATAAAACACGTTCCCTTTTGTCACAATATGAAACCCCGGAAAAATTGTACCAATGAACGAGCATCTGAATATGATATTTTTGTCGCTTTCCCTGCCGTCAAAATAAGTTAACTTAGCAAAAATGAACCGATCAATGGGCTTGCTCTGGAGTGCGGGTGCGCCAAGAAAAAAGTCCATTTCTCCAGCATATAATCTTTCAAAAACATTTTAAAAAATGAAGTGTAAAACAAACTTTCATTTTGATACTATATTCAATATATTTAATAAATTCTATTTTGTTAAATAATTGTAGTTTATAAAAATCATCCCTAAATATTTTCGAACCACAGCAGCAAAAAGACCTCTCGCATGCTTCTTTTTGAAGAAGCAAACTTGTTTCGTTCCATAAGGGGCGTCGCGCTTCGGCGCGGACGCAAATAATGGCTACCACTGTTGGCAAGGGAGGTAAATATTGTAAAAACGGAAAATATATGTAGGTACATTTTAATTGCTGTATCATCCATTTCAGACAATGGCATATTATATTGATGTTGAGCATGGTGCCGCTTTTGAAGTTTCTTTTGCATCAGAGGGATCTGAAGATTTTTATATTGTGAGTATTGCTAAAAACAACCACAAGATCATACGACAAAATTAGTGACACAGTCACACATAAAGAGATTAACATTTCTTTTATGTTTTCAGTGGATAACTGATTTATCTATGAACATATGTAGAGGATATTTGGTAAGTTTAAAGCAAGATCGGAATATATTTCACCGAGTGAGAACTAAAATGTATATTTCACGAGTTGCGCAGCCACAAGTGAAATATGAACTTTTGGTGTTCACGGGGTGTAATATATTTCGATCTTACACTAAATTAAACAAATTTTCTTTTTATTATATGCAAAAAAACGTTAAAAAAGATAATTTAACCTAGTACTAAATGAAAAGTGCGCCAAATAATAATATAAAGAGACGTCATTTACGACGTCACGTCATTAAGTTGGTTTCCAGTACTGTGAACGCTTGTATTTTAATGAAACAACGTAACGGGCTCAAATATTCAAAACAGTGAAATTATTAAATTGATATTTTCACTTGTTAAAACAGTGAAATAATCAGTTTTTGTTTCACTTATATATTTCTATAAACCACCGAAAAGCACGTAATAAATTTTATAATTTCACAGTGAAAAATATCAAAATATAATTTCGACGAGGCTACTTTTTAAGGTTTCCCCATGTGGTACCTCATTGATATTTTTGTTGACAATTCTGACATTGTCAGGGCTGTCTAGAGAAAAGGAAAGCTGAAATCAATAAATAACTTAAAAATTCAAAAGTAATAAAAAGAAGAAAACTTACTTCAATTCTTTCAAATAACTAATCACCAAATAGCGTCTTCAAATTTTTTGTTATTTTTACAGTCTGAAAATTACAATTCCTTCCTTCCACATGCAGCACTGCTCTTGATGACATTTGGACATATTTAGGTATCCTACCAGCAATAACTGCCTAGTGCAATATGAAAACTTGAAAAGCAATGCCAGCCATCAGCCCGAAGAACAAGTAAACAGCCAAGTGTCCGTTATGCAGCTTTTCAACAATTCCATGTTTCCCAATTTAATTTTCACTGTAGCCGAACTATATCTGAATGCGGATGAAAAGAATATCATTACTAAATGAAGTAACAGGCACAAATAAATGCAATCTTACGTAAATTTTGCTTCTTTAGGAAAAGAAAGTGGATGGCATCATACACATCATGTTAAAATGTAACAAAATTAGAGAAAGTTTAACAAAACTATTATATTTCAAAAGACGTCATCAAGGAGAATGCATGACGTTACGCGGCAAAAACAGTAGAAAATATTTAAGGTTTTAAATCAATACAGGATTGGAACAGTACCTCTAGACGCTTGCAGAAATCATGTTCACAAAATAGACAAATATCGTTTTTTCGCCGATTTTTACATTTTTCATTTATTATCATACATAAATCGGCGTGAAAAGATGAATTAGACCTGTAAAAGTTCATTCCGTTGGGTAAAAAGGCAATATTTTAGCATTTTATCATACAGGCGCTTTGTCCGGTATATACCGGAATACGGTATTTAGTGTGGTGTTCTAATCCTATTTTGTCTGACTCAATATTTGAAATCGCTTTAAAAAACATGAAATAAAAAGAAAATTTATTTGTTTTACGTATATGATTGAAATATATTTTATCGTGAACACCAGCTATTATATTTTCACTCGTGGCTACGCCACTCGTGAAAATATTGCATCTGCTGTTCACTCACTGAAATATATTTCAATCTTTCATGCAAAACAAAAGGTATTCTTTATATGAATCAAACACAATAATTCTCCTCCCGTGAAATACACAACTTTTTAAAATGGCAGCCGCTTATTTTACACAAAGTCTGGTCTAATATAAATTCGCCGTAAGTACATTTTTTTGGTAACAGAACTTAGGTCCGAAGATGTGACTTTTTCTTCTGCTAGAATTGTTTGCTTTTACTTATTAAACAAGCGGTCATTCATATTTTTTTAATAAATAAATAATCTTTGTCATTTAACGTTGATTGTCGAACTTATTCTTCAGCTCATGACTTCTTGTACTTTATAAGAAATTCGACTAAAATGATAATGATGCTACCAGTGGGAAACACAGATTCTAATATTTAAGTTAATATTTAGGAAATTTCATTTAAAGTTGTTTTTAAGCATAACTTAAAAGAAAATTTGTTTGGTTGTGTGTAATTTAAAACAGTATTTCATCGAATGAGTTTTAAAAGCAATATTCTCACATGTGGCGCAGCCAAATATCCTCTATTTCTTTGACTTTAGAACTAGCAAATGTTGTTTAATGCCACAAATTGAGAAATATGTAGTCATGTCAGATTGTGTGTACATTCAGGCTGCGTTTCGTGATTGTAACTCTTCCATATTGGTCTTTTCCCTAATGTTTAATATTGAGTGTATTGTCTGTTTCAGTTCTAGCATTGTATTTTAAGAGACACAAGACCATTGTAACACCGCACTTTGAGAACAAACTCAGTTTGGGGTCCGAACCGATTGTGCGTTACGTATTATGGGGTCCAACCCCAAAATGCGTTACGCACATTGGCCCCAAAGACATCTACGCAGGAACATATGCCTTTTGTGACATCAGACAAACGACCGCACTTTGGGGTCATACAAGAACGAATTTTAGTGATATTTAAGAAATAATATATCTTAAACAGTGATTTTACCGAATATTGCTTTTACCGATTTTACTCGATTTTATCGAGTGATAAAATCACTGATTTTGATATGTTATTTCGATTCTAATACGACATCAACAAAATAAATGTTGCCATTTTTGATATCAAGCAATTGCGTCTGATTTGTTTACGTAATTATTTTCAGCGCGTCACATTTTTTAATAATTACGTCACATGTATCACCTTTGGCACAACTGTGACTTGTATTTATGTCTTTAATACACTTGGTAGATCTAATAGTAGCATTTTCCAAAAAAAAGAAATACTTTAAAAAAAAATTTCGTTGAAATTCCTGTCTGCATTTCTGTCGTACTTTAGAGTACAGTAACTTCTACAAAGTTGTTTACTTTTGATGTGTTCAAAGTACACTACTGAGTAGTATGTAGAATCTAGAAGCAATTGATATTTCATTTTTTTCGGAATGAATTTGTCGTTTTATTTCTTTAAATTTCAATTAATAGTAAAAAACTGTGTTTAAGCTCTCATAATAAAATCAAGCGATTTGTGCTTAAAACCTACTTTCACATTTACAGTTAACTGTTTGATGACGTTAAATATGACGTCATTGTTTCAGTTTGTGCAGCGGCATGATAACGAGTTCTCGGCCCCGGGCCGCCAACTCATAATAGGTCACGTGACACTCATAATGAGTTGAAATCATAGGTGATTTTGTTACCATATTATATAGTAAAAAGTGTATTAATTCATGTAAAAGACGTTTTCCGGAGTTTTCATATAGACATACAGGCAAAATTAAAACTGTTCTAAATAATTTCTTTAGACTTGGCATGTTATTAACATATGATAACAGAAACAATTTAAAGGGACCAAATATGGGGTCACCGTTCTCATTAATGAGTTATATGCCCTTGAATTGGACTTTTCCGTTAAATTCAAGGGCATATAATTCACAATAAAGCGAAACAATACATTTTTTCTTCTTCTTATTTTCATGAAGCTTACCTTCGTCTTAGTCAATATGCAAATTTTCAAGAACAAATTTATAGTGGATAGTGTTTAATGATATTCTAACAACATGCCAAGTTTAAAGAAATTCTATAAAACAGTTTTAATTTTGCCTCTAAGTCTATGATGATGCGCATCCGAACGACAAACAGAGATTTTAAACGTCCTTAAGTGAAAATATACACCATATTTTACGATAAAACGAAAAAATGACCTTTTTATTTAATTTCATTATCAAAGAAAAATTGTGATGAATCCCCTTGCTTGGTACGCATCTGCAATTGTACAGCACGCTGTAATATAGTACTTTGACTGTTTTTGCACGCGCTGTTTGGCGCTACATTGTGACGTCACGTAAACAACTCTTTAAACGTCTGTACAGCGGTAATGACTGAATTAAAGATATTAATGTTCGGATTTATTTTCTAAGTTTGTCCATTTCCTATCATGCTAGACAGTTTTAAAAAGAAAATTCAACAAAAGTTGTTTTTTATTTATTTTTTTTTTCAAACAAAAAATGGCGAAAGAAGTCCCTTGAAATCTATATGAGTTTTGACTCCCCCCACTTTCATATTTATATTTCATATTTATTTTTAGCAAATAAGAAATATATTTGACTGATATAGCACCATATTTCATGGGTAAGATTATATATCTTATAGTTAACCGAAGTAGGCGAAATGTAGAAGACGATTGATTATTTTAATTTGTTATATCTAATGGTTTCAATTTATTACAATTATTCTTTTTATATTCAATAATTTGTCTCATAGGATATAGGTCTTAAAATAATAAGATATATTGATATGTATGATGTGTATTGTGTGTAATAATACATTAGAGCAACATATCCATGAACTAGCGTTATGTGTCGATAATTGTAGAGATTACATGTCACACATATTTCCATCTAATTAAAATCCAGTTTCTTATGCGATAAGATCTGTTTAGGACCCAGTAAGAAATATTGATCTTCACTATTTCTGGTTAAATTAAACGGAGGCAAATTTTCTGAATTGATTAATTATAGTTTTTTTCAATATTGAAAGAAATTCAGGCTTTGTCAATCTGCAAATACTGGAAAAAGGAAACATTGAATATTGCTTCTAAGATGGATGTCATATTATGAAAAATCACCATGCTTGACAAGATAATAAGCGTATCATTATTTCAATGAAATTCACGTCCAATCATGGCAGGAATTATTTTCAATCACGTATATTTTGTAATTTTCGGAAACAGACATTTCAACTCATTCAAAAAATGACACCTGAAGCTTTACGTAAGTTTATTTTGATTCACAGTATAAAATGTCCCGTGCTGTTTATTAACGTTTACAATTTTTACATAAAACTTTAGTCCTTTCAAGTT